CATGAATAATAATAGTAATAGTAATAATAATAATAATAATAATAATAATAATAATAATAATAATAATAATAATAATAATAATAATAATAATAATAATAAAAATAATAATAATAATAATAATAATAATAATAATAATAATAATAATAATAATAATAATAATAATAATAATAATAATAATAATAATAATAGTAATAATAATAATAATAATAATAATAATTTGTAATATTTACTTTAAATATTACAAATAATTCGCAAACTCTCTTCGATAGTTATCGTTCGAACAAGCCGGACAGATAAATAGATAGAAAGGCGGAAATGGCAAAGAGACCTGGAGGCTAGAAACTCTATTTCCCTGGGACACAGTTTGTTCTCATCAAATCGTGTAGCTTTGTAATCATAAGGTTGCCGTTATAATAAGTGTTTCGATCAGTGAACGAAAGTAAACTATTGCAAACGTTTTCAATCGTTTCGTTCTGTAATTTCTCGAATTGCAAGAAACACAACCGATATTTAAATAACGGAACTTGTTTTTTTTATTATGCACTGTTTGTGTAGATGAGTTGAAACAAAAACAAAACTGCATGCAAACTGCAAAATTGCACTCTGCTGGAGGACGCACCATTGGAAGCGAAAGTGTACAGGGTTGCCCATATTCGACGGACCCATCTGGCAACGCCATAACTTTTGACAGAGATGTCACATCGCTTAATTACATACCGCGTTTGAAGCGTCAGTCCAAGCAGATTTTTACCATGAACCAATACACGCCACGCGAAATAGTTGAAATTTACATTCAAAAGAAGAAGTCAATTGTGAAAACTCAACGTGCTTTTAAAACATTAAAAAATGTGAGAAGTGCGCCTTCTAAGAACACCATTAAGCGTTTATACGAAAAATTTTCGACTGGTAAGGCTCTTTCTAATCCGAAGAGGCCATATAAAAACCGACTAAGGCGATCGGCCGAGAATATCGCTGCCGTACGAGCCAGTGTTGAGAGGTCTCCAAGAACATCCCAAAAACGCCGTTCTCAGCAGTTGTCCATAGCTCGGTCCACTTTACAACGGATTATTCGCATTGATTTGCATTTGTTCCCGTACAAAATTCAATTGACGCAAAGAATGTTGCATGCGGACAAGCCTCGTCGATTGGAATGGGCCCAAAAAAACATGGGTCCGTCGAATATGGGCAACCCTGTACAATACTCATTGCAAACGTGTCCCTGTATATTTACTCATTACATATAATGTACATACTGTTATTTCTCCATCATTCAATGTACGCTGGTACGTCCTACAATGTACAGTTGCTTACAAACTGTTGGACAACGAATGTTTTCTCATCGGAGAAAACCAAATTCGCCAGTTCACCCCTTTGGGCAGGCGAAGCAACTCTTTAGCTCTTTTGAGTCTATTTTCTTTCTAAGTTCTTGCACTTTTTGAATTTCAATGGCTTTACCCCGAGCTCATTTTGCAATATTAGCCGAATGGAATATTGCGATCTATTTTTCGGCCACTGCTACGCGGGTTTCGATCAAGTCGTTTCTTTACTTTTCGAACCATTTCTGCTGATGTTCCATCCACTTCTTTGACGTCGGGCTACGCTAGCTGTATCACGGTAATGAGCGATGGTACGAGATTTAGTCACATTTAAATGCTGGAGTGCTCTAACGATAGCCAATTGTGGTTTTCCAGCCAAATATAACGAAATCACACTATCACGCTTGATTTCCATCACGAATAACTTTTTTTCTGGAAAATTCTCACTAAAATGCTTGTGTATGCTTGTAAACAATATAAGGATCTGGCACTGGAATAATTTTAACAGCTGTCGGACGAGTGGCTTAGAAATGACAGCAGTCTGAAGTTGGTTGCAGTTTTTTCATCTCAGCCTGTATATATTTATTTCACCCGATTTCAAGCTATATTGAAGTCTGCCATATTTGGATTAAATCAAATTCTTTATAGCTATAGCTCAAGTCTTCTCACAGTCATAATATACCCTCGAAAGCAATGACATTTGGAACGAGTGGTCGCTACAGCATAAACATATCTCCTTTAAATCTTTTTTAAAGCGATTCAGATGTAGCTTCTATATGTATATATATATTGCACCCGATTTCAGGGCATATTTCTCATTCAAGAAAGATCATTGTTGGCATTATTTACTTCAAACATATTCGCAATATAAACAATCATTTTTTACTAGAATCCCTGCTAAGTATGTGCAGTACTGTAGGGTATCATATTTCCGGCCCATTCTGACTTTCGTCTTCTCCATACTCGTTAAAGTATGCAGTTCATAAGGACGGATCAGATGTATCTACCAACTTGAAGACTCTGTCTTGAGCCGACAATACCGTTTTGTCTTTAAAAAATGTGTTTTCTATTCTTTGTTTCTTATCCGCTTAAGGTTAGTGTGTGAATAAATGTATTCTTCATGGTCGTAAAATATTAGTCGATAATATATAATTGCCATATTGCTGAAATCTAGTTTATTACATTTGTGGATTATCGCTGAAAATGATAAAAAAAGACACACGGACGAAAACAAAAACTAGACTAAAATGTGTAGTGTATTTACCCAATAGAAAACTTACAACGTTTAACAATACTTCTTCTTTTTAATGATAATCTTAAATTATAAAGGAAAGATGACATCTGTGACAACTCTGAGTTGTTGCCAGATTGTATTTTTTTTGTTTTCTAGGTTTTGAAAGTGTTATGAATATAATTTCATCATTTTTTAATTTATTCAACGACTAAAGGTACGGTCACACTGGGCAAATATTTGATCGAAATTTGTTTTCCCATATTTGACTGAACAAATGTGAAATTCATACAGAGTTGATTCGATGTTCACATTACAGTCAAATATTTGACAGATTTTGTTTGTTCAAGCAGTCACCAAACAGCGTCAAACAGTGCTATGGAAAAACATGTTTGACACATGATCACATTCGTAAAATATATTTTCCCATTAAATTGTTTGATCAAACATACGTTTATTTGGCCTAGAGAAATAGACAGGGAGAGTGAAAGAGAGACATAAAGAAAATGTAGTTTCGGGTATAATTTATTTGGAGAAGGGAAGCAAAAGAACAGCTGTTGTGGAATAAATTCCTTGTCAGGACAATTTTTTTTTTGCATTTTTGTCTGTATCATGGTAGAAGAATACAGGTAGTCACATCGACATAGCTGCTGGGACAATGAACTGTCAAAACAATTTTGGGATTGAAAATAATGAATAAAATATTATTGAAATTTGTAAAAATTGTTGAAAAATATATATCATTGCAACCTCCGATTTTTCGCTGTATAGTAAAACATAAAAATCTACTTATTTTTGTCAAAACATTTCAAAATTTTCTACATATCATTGTTGCATGCGTTGATGCATCTACCCATATCCTGTTTCAGAACCTGCAAGAATCTACTAGTTTCGCAATTTTCTTCGATATAATAAAGGGAAAATCGGCTATCGTAGTAAAAACACTTACATTCTCGCAGTTCTGGAACAGACCAACAGGCGAAACGCGTCGCATAGTGGTGAGTGTGTGATAGTGTCTATCTGGCTTTCCTTTTCACTGCAAATTTCAGATCATCAAGCTCGTCTCGAAAGAGAAAACAAACACTTAAATCATAAAACATATGATCTTCGCCTTAATAAGGCAAAACTCATAAACACTTTTTACTAAACATTCAAATTCAGTTAATTCAAAAATATCAAATAAACAAAGCCACTTATTGCATTCGTTTGTTTTCCTATTCATTAAAAATCATGCTACAAATGCTCCTGTTCTTAAAGCAAAATGCTGCCCAATGTTTTAAACTGATATTTTTCCTTGTTTGACATTTGCACCGTCAAATAAATGTTTGACCAAAAAATAGGAAAATAATTGATCATATATGTTTACATTATGGACACATTGGGTCAAATTTTTGTTTTCCGGCAAATAATTTTGTTTTCCCAAAATCAGCTGTTTTTGTATTTACCGTCAAATAATATTTGGTGGTCAGATTGTGACAAAGAAATATTTCACATTTTTCGTCAAATATTTGCCCAATGTGACCTTACCTTAAGATTAAAAAATGATATTTTGCCTCAACACCATGCCATCGACCCCATAGTGTCTTGTGGGGGAGGTATCAAACGGAGAAGGTCAATATTCACATTAGATCTCTAGTTTAGTCAAACATTAAGAATCTCTGACTAGCTTCGGATACTATAAGGGCTATGAGTAACCAAAATGTGGACCTTTTGTGGTGAAGTACCGAAGGAGTGGTCCGATATATTTCGTCTTCTTGTGTTGGAAGAAATATTAAGATATGCGAAATTTGAAGTCATATAAGAGTTATGATTCTTCACAATTTTGACCCTTTGTGCGGAAGGTACTTGATTGAGTGAACTGATATTGTCCCTTGCACTGATACAAATATTAAGATTTGCAAAATTTGAACAATATTGGATTCTTTCTTGTTCTATGAAGCAAATTATTTTCAATGAATATGTTGACATTTTGTGGGGGAGGTACCAGAGAAGTGGACCTATATTGCCCATCCCCGAATTCGATCTAAGTTTGACAATAATATTATGTGGTACCAAGTTTGGGTCGAATCGGATACTCCCTCCAAGAGTTATCGTGCGCACAAGCCACAACCCTTAGATCAACTCCAAATGTCATGAAACGGATTTGGTCTAAAGAGACCTAGGGTCTAATACCGTTATTTCAATTAGGCGCATTTTGGTCGTATCAAATGATATTGCTCTTTGTAGCCATATGGCTGAGGGTTTAACAATATTTGTAAGTTTGGAAACGATTCCTGACGATACTGCTCGGCAGCTGACAGCGGAAGTACATTGAGGCAATCTTATTGTTTGTGTAATTCTGGAATTAACTATTCACAAAAAAAAAACTAAAATAATAAAAATAAATAAATAAATAAATGTGACTTCATGTGAGCGATACGTTATTCGTTTCGTACGCTGTTTTTTTTTTTTTTTTTTTTTTGATAATATAATGCATTGTATGGAATATATTTGCTTTTGTAAAATTTTGATATAATTGAGTTCTGAAACCCACCAGATGTTGTCAACTGGTATTCGTACGCTTTTCTTTAGTATTTTTGTTTTTCGCTGGAAAGCGAGTTTACGAAAATTGTAGACATTAAACAAGATTTTGATAAGATTCCTGACTAGTGCAGCGATTATTTTTCATGTATTGAGGTTATTTCTTTCCATTCAGGAAAGCTGATGTCGTTGCCTCATCCGGTAATTGTTCCACAAGCGTAGCGTGAAGTAGTAGACAAACTCAATGCCACTCAAAATGCTGGCTCCCAAGAACAAGCCCAAAATACCACCAATCGTGACGACAACGTCCAGGCGGGTGCGCAAGGCCTGACGGCGGTATCGCTCAGTGGCAAATTCTGGCATTGTGACCGTTATTGTCATGTAGGGGTTGGATTTGTTGGAGCTGCAATACATTGATTCAGGGATTGCTTTGAAGGCATGGCACAGACCCTATGCAGTACTTACGGTAGCTGGTGGTCAAACACAACTCGGAAATCACTTTCCGTACACGAAGGCAAACATTCGCAAGAGTACTTGCTGTCTGTCCAGGGCAACAAGTTTCTGGCGTCTGGTCGGACCAAAGTGAAGTCTTCTAGACAAAGTAGGCCCTGCAGATCGCAGTCGGGGTATTTCGTTATCGGTTCTGGCAAGAAGTTGAAAACGGAACAGTTACACTCTTTCATTTGGTGGACGCGGTGACAGTCGACGAAACAAGTGCTGAAGCTATACGCCTTGTACGCAGTGTCTTTTAACAGCTCGTCGGGAAATCGACATTGTCTGTACTCTGGAGATATTTCCCTGACATCGGGATCATTGCTCATCGCTTGCATGAATATTTGAAAGATTTTATCCTGGCCTGGTTTATTAGCTTCAACCTTGTAGCCCGCCAAAGAGTTATGGGGTACATCCTCCTCGTTAAGAACGGATAACTGTTGGCAAAATTAGCGAATTCAAAAGGTACTGGTCGATAGCAACATGGGTTACCTGCGTTGGCTTCTTGGTTACGATCTTCATTTTGGCGGTGTCCGTCAGTGGGTCGATTTCGTTATTGTACCAAGTGGACTTCCTCTGTAAAACAAAACGGATGCATCACTGGTGGAACACGGCCACAAAGCAAAAAACCCTTACTTCTTGTTATTCAAAAGCGAATTGAACATAAAGCAGTTGCCATGGGGCGTGGTGAGCGGTAAAAAATATTTGCAGCAGTCGATCGGCCTCAAAGAAAATTCGCAGGACACAAAGAAATCCGTACAGTTGGTCATGAACTGCGGTACACGTCGAACATCGAATATGGCTTCAGAATATTTCTCAAAAGTGCTGGGTGAAATACCCCAAATTGAAAATGTAATAAAGCTTTAAAACTGCACTCCTTGAATTACGCCCTCACACCGCAAAGAGTTTTCCTTCCTATATAGAATGTGCTTCATACTGCCCTATGCTACATGTCGCAGATTACTAAAGATATATCCAGATCGTCCTGTCCAGGTGCAAGAAGACAGAGATACTAACTCAGTGCGGGTATTGGAATGACTTGCAATTCAAGGCTCGAGAGCATTGCAAAGGTGCGCTGATGTACTGCCGAAAGCAATTTATGTTTCTCTATGCGTCAAAATTGCGACGATAGCACCAATCGTCGCAATTTCAATAAAACTACTCTGTTCAAATTCACCGAGTCCTATTTGTTCGACACGGACACTAAATCCTGTTTCTATTACGACTCACCACATAAGAACTAAGTAGCATTCTGCCTATCGTATACTGCTTGGGGTCTTTATTTCATTTTCGTTTTGGGGTTTCATTTTGGCATTTATAAAAATATAATTTTTTTTCAAAAATAGAACCGGCATACTTACTCTTTCATACAACTGCCGCAAGTCCCTCGCCGGGCACTCGGCACAGCCTTCACCACAGTCCTCAGAACACCAGCCCTTGATGTTATCCTCTCGGTAGAAATAAGGATACACCAGAAAATTGATGAACGTCTCTACATCATAGCTGTACTCCTCATCCGTAGAACCGAGACTAAAATGGGTACACGGTATAGAAAGCAACGTAATTAATTGTCGAACATGAATTGGGCCGGGGGCTGAGCATACTCACGAGGTGACGTAATCAATTAGCTCTGGAGGTGCAACAAACTTATTGTACATATCACACACCGCTATAGTCGGAAACATTATCTTATGAGTCGACGGCAAGCTTTCGTATACGATGCTTACGGCGCGACTGTTGAAGTCCCTCTGATACTGGCTGATCAGTAAGTAGGATCCCAGGGTAGAGAACACGACACATATCAGCCAAAAGACTCGTTCAATCAAGTGCAGACTTTGAATATTTTAAAACCTGGATGAGTTGCTTCGAACCCTGGTCGCTTAATACTCACTTCTGATTGGCAATGTAACTAAATCCAGCTAATGTGCAGTTGGCGCAGTAATCTTTGAGATATCCCACCCATTTCCAGCTCCCCGTGCCTATGCTTGGCATAATGGCATCTACTCAAAACGCCCCGCTAGTTTCGATGGAGAATGGAAGATGTCCAATGTATAACAGTGCTGAGGAAATAAGCATTATTTTTATCAAGAGCTTATTGAACCTTCCTAAGTTTACAGGCACTGGGGCCAAACTAATGTATTTTGAGACCAGAATACGTAAACATTTCCATATTAATGTTGGACCTTTATACAGAGATTATCCATTCACTCGATATTGTTGTACGAAATGTATATAGTAAGGTACAGGCGGACTAATTTTCATCGAAAAATTGTCCGGCCCCAGGAATTTACATTTGTGAAAAGAAAACTTATGTAAGGAAACAGCTACGATCTTGTCCACAGTCGGATAACAGTTGTAAACTATGTACGACCGTTGCGAATAGTTTATTCTCCGCAAAACCTCCAACCACCTAAGAATCAGAAATGTCAAATTGCAATATTCCCAAATGAGTGTATCTAGGAGTTACACGTGGTAATGTAATCTGCGTACTATGCTGGAGGACATATGGCCATGACATTTAAAATCTTTTAAGTTTTGTGGATGTAGAAGCTTATAAACCCCCACGCAATGACTGCCAAAGTTACTCTATTAAAGTTGAAACCACTTTTGAGGTAAAGGGAGGGGAGAGATGGACTAAAGCATAGAAATATTATAATGTGGAATGCTGGATCAAATCTGGTACGGTCTTAATCGTTTTGTGTGTAATTTTTTTTTTTAATTTACGAAGAGGTAGCAAAAATAACAAAAAATTAAACAAAAGAAATAGTGAGAGGAAAGTGGCAGAAGGCGGAGGCATCTAAGTTAGTAAGAAATACAACGATAATTATGCCAAATCAAATGTAGCGGATAGACAGAAAGGTTTGTCTATTGCATGAAATTACCGTGCTTCATCAATCGTAAGAACTGCCAATGTGAGCCACTTTATATTCCAAAGGAAACGTACAATTTCTCTTTTGTTGGCATGCTTGCAGCGTCCTCCTGCCACTTACCGTGAATGAGTTCCAATTCTTCTAGAATCCCAAGAAATACACAATGGGAACAAAGGGGACAAACAGCCTTGCACCACCAGTCGAGTACGTTATTTTAAGCTTCTAACTGTCGGTTTGCTTTCTGGCAGGTCTTTTGTCACAGGAGCCGGACGAGGGACAGGAAAACGTCAACACTCTGCAGTTCTGCTCAGAGTGAGATGTATGGCCAATTTGAATTAACCACTTTCTGCTCAGGAGCGTGTGCTGCTCCATAGCCATAAATAATTACCGGTGCCATGTCAAAGCACAAAGCTAATGCAATTATGCAATTAAGTGCACACTGGACAATAGCAAGGATACCCAGCCCCCACTCAGCTCCATGTGCACGCTAAGCCCAGAACTCGTACACGTAAGCCGAGCAAGGGGCGAAGCAATGGTCACACAGCCCCATGTGCAGCAGGACTGCTGCAGGTATTTATTTGTGGTGAAAGTGTAAAACATGGCCAAGCACTTGAAAACAATTAGGAGCTCATTGGAAATTAATTTCTGTTGACAGTGCTGGTGTGGGCGGTGGCCGTGTAGTTGTTGAGGGTTGACAGTGTTGACATACTCAAAGCCGTGCATTTGCCTTTTCAACTGAAATCCAAAGAAACTTAATTAACATATGTCGTATAGTTCGGTGGCCTTTACACGCGTATAGGAATCCAGTACAGGAAAATGTGGCCAAAATCCTGCAACCGTGAGATGCTGTGTCCAACTGCTGTTCCTGAATGATAGTAAAAGTGATTCCTCAATTGAATTTTACTAATTGTTCCTCTTCTCCGCAGGAAGTATCTCCCGGGCCGACTTGACTTTTTGAAACTCGAATACATTGAGATACAGAAACGTTAAATGAATTTAATTTCGTCCTTATCGGAAATCGGTAGTTCGTCATGTTGCTCTTCGATGTTACTTTTTGGCACAGACATGCCTCTGTTATGGACAACACCTCTACATTTTCCGTACTAAAATTATGTAATAATAACTTATTGTGTCGGCAAGTTGTCTATGGTTTTTCTAGGATCCTCATGACATATCTTTCTAACGCATTTGTAGTAATTTTTTGTACCCCAGACCGAACCCTTCTAAAATGTCCAAAGAATAGCTCTCAACTTTTAATCTAATAAATTCTCTCTGCGTGGAAAGTTATGTAGATCAAGTGGTGAAAAGATTCCAACGCCTTGCTACAGGAACTAAAAAATACCTCGAATAAATATTTCTGAACTAATGCGAGGCATTCCATTCTTGATTAAGCTGTGGAAAAGACGAACATATCAAAGGAATTGAATGACGTGAGCAGAAGTTGGGCTATCTCGAGGAATATTGATATCAAGGAACTCAATATGGATAGCTAACCTTGTCAATTGTCTCCACTAATAAATAAAGGTGCTTTTATTAGATTTTGATGATTTTGCAAGAACAAAATAACTTCGGCATCCCAAATCAAATACCAACACTACTCTAAGTAGCGAACATAAAACCTGAGTGGAAGGCTTGTCATGGTTATTCTTTTCACGAGTTGAATGGGTCAAAGTGTGCCACGTTTAGTCCAAAATCAATTCAGATAATATCGGTTTGGTTTGGTTTCGTACTTCGAAAAAAATACAGAAACGAAACGGTTGGAAACGTGTCCAATAGTTTGTTTTCGTTCGCTGGCTATAGCACCCTTTATATATGAATGTTTCGTTTCCATCGAATCGATCATAACAAATTGATAGGTGTATGATACTATAGCCGATTACACGTTGTTGTACAATACTCACACTCACACTTACACATTTCATATGTTCCTTGTGTTCGACAATTGTAATAAGCCCAGCATAACCAGCACGGCGACGTAGTACATTTTGCACAATTTACAAAAACTCCGTCATAACCAATCTATCTACGATATATACAAGATTTTATTGCTGTTTTGTTTTAAACAAGTTACATAACATCATCGTAGGCCTCGCACCAGTAATGAACGTAGAAATCGGAATATCGTTAGCTTAACTTTTGAGTAAAGAAGTCGATGCACGGATTATAGTGGTAGTAGTAAGAGGTATATAGCATTTTAGTTATATGCAGAAGCGCTGTTATTCGAACACGTGGACCTGATTGGTTCTTCTTTCCTCAAACACAATGTAAGTTTGCATTGGTCAATCAATGCCTGAGTCAGCCTATGATGTATATATTTCTCTTGTGGTTTTTTCCAATGAGGCTGTATAAAAATCTGGTTGTCACATAAGGGTCATTGTAAATTGTGGATTCCGGTATTCCAATCTACATATATTAGAATGTGCAACATATGAGCCGATTGTTTAATGGTGACATGTCCGTATATCGAAATTTTTCAAAAAGTTTCAAGTAAGTTTCCTTAGCACCATTTTTCTTTTCGAAAAATAACATCCCCACTGCCTAGTTATTTAGTCAAGTTCGCTTCAAACGCTACACCTGTACAGGCGTTGTGTATTGCCATTGTTGCGAATGGCTCTTATACTCTTCGCATCGATTGCCAATTGTTCTGGCGATATTTACTTCTTCAGAGTCTTTATCCGAAGAAGAGGCAACTTGTGTGTGAATGGAAACTTATTGTTGCTACACTCTTTTGTTGGTGGCGCTGATTATTTGAATGTTTCTACTATTATTCGCGATGCTTATCCATTGAATTGGAAATGAGCATGTGAGCCAGGCGGGGACGCATTGCAGCGGTGATTCCGAGCCCCAGTGGCGTCGATAGCTGAGGAATGAAGCCACCAACGCACAATTTTTTTAGTCGGGTGTTGTTTCCGCGATTGCTGTTGTTGGCACTGTACATATGGATGTGTATGTGAATATGTGTATATGTATACATGTCTTCTTTTGTTGAGCTACAAGGGTTGTTGGTGCAACAATGCTGTTGCATTGTTAAGCAATCTTACGAATGAGCCGATGGGCCTTAGCAACTCTTGGCAGAAATATTTTTTTCTTCTTCTTTTTTTGAATTTGGTTCGGTCTTTGTAAGTGCAATGTCTGTTGCTTCATTTGTTGCATCGAGTCTGCCTTTGTTACTGCAGTTTACGGCAACAATTGGATTCCATTTCAGTTTATTGCGCCGAGCCAGTTTCGTCTGTCCACTTCCTTTCTGCACCAGCGTCTTGGCATGCCAACGTTCATGTATTCTCCTGTATCCTGTTGTGAATAATGTACGAATCGGCAAGGAGTGGGAGTAAAAATTCAATTTAAATAGATTTCCGTTTCCAGGAAATTTAAAAAGTGCCGTTACTTCTTTCAAAGAATCTGAAGACGTTTTATTGCAGCAATACACAGCAAACTCAGCGCAGGGGAAGGTGGGCTTGGACAATTGAATACCAGTTTTAATAGCTTCATTGTGACGTTGCATATTGTATGCCAAATAATCTCCGATGTTCTATGTTGTGTTGAAGTTTCCCATCAGACAGAGGGTATGCCATTGTGAAGGGATAACAAACCCTCGATCATGGGGTGTACAGGGAAATGTTTATTTTTTTCGTAGCGAAGCAAACAGATTTGTACTTCCACAACCGATTTGTCTACAAAGTGGAACTTGGATGCCCATTGAGTAAACTCCTCCTTGCCAAAATGTATCGCTTTAGATCAACCCGAAAACTTTCAGATTAGATCCAATTTTGGTTTCAAAGCAATGTCATATTTCATCCATTGGGTATAATGTTGCCAGAGGATTTTACCTCCATTATCCAAAAGTTCGGCCGACCATCCACCATTCGGTAAAGAAAACACTTTTAGGCAAAAACATATGGATTGAAACGTGTTCCACTTTAAACTACAAACTCCAGTAAGATCGGTAGGAGAAAACAGTTAGAATTTGAAGCTGTTATATAGGGCCATACTAAAAGGGGATCCTTATATAGATAATTGTATACTACAACGATTGTAATCTAATATAAATGTGACTAGGATTATAAAGTACCGAATATTGGGTTATATATTCAATATAAATACCGAACCTTTGTATGGAACCCGTTGATCATATGGACAATGTTTTGGACGCCGAATATCGGGAGGTACCGCCTATATGAAGTACCTTATGAAAAGGTAACCTAAATCGGGCGTAAATGTGTTCTCCTTATATTCTATTTTCCAATTTGGAAAATTCTATAAGTTACTTTATAGGTTCCCTATGTGTAGAATATTTTGTATACTTGTAGGACTGGGACTTTCGCCAAAAAATATTGACATCTGGGTGCCAGACATTTTGTATAGATTTTGCTTTTTTACCAGCGGTGTTACTTCGCTTCCGATTAAAGACGTTGTCTGCGAAGCTCTTATAAATTGCTCTGTAGTATACATATTTTTCATAACACCATCGAGGATATCACTGACAGTTCATTCGTTGCCACCCACATTCCGGGCAAGTTTCCGCGAAATATAATTATTTTGTTAAAAGGAGTAGGGATGAGTGTGCCTCATTACTCTACACATGACGATAATGCATTTTTTTTTGGTTTATGTTTTGTAGTTACGGGATAAATACAACTACACTCTGCGTATGCTGGGTAGGTACAATACGTTTGTCACATTAATAACAATTTAGACTTCTAAGCACTAGCGGGGTCAAGAAAATAGCCGAGCCTGACGTAGTAGAAATAATACCAAGAAACGTTGGGATGTCAAACTTTTGAGTAGTGGTTGTAGAAATTTCATTGGACTTCATATATTGGAACATAAAATATAAAAATGACTACCGCTTTTGGGTAGTTCTCCAAAATATGCAACATCTGTTTGATGCTGCGACTTAGCTACCAAAAATGGTTACTTTTCTTGAAATGACTTCAAAATGCATTTATCTGTATGTTGCTGGTGCAATTTGGGAATACTCATCGGAACTGTCATTTGGCGGCATTTAATATTGTTCATCACTGAACATGCTACCGGACATTTCCCGATCTGACTTTTTGACATAAATCCAAGACATATTCAAACATAAAGCCTATTCTAATGATCTCGGGTGTAGGAATACTCAAACTTGTGGTATCGACATGTTCATAGAGGAGTTATAGCTGCCGCAATTTAATAAATTATTATTACACATACTCCTTGATATACATACATACACTCAAACATACGTACACACATACGTATTTGGGTGTGCGTGCGTGCATATTCGAACGCTCAGACTCGCATCTACGGATGGATGGATACAAAAGAAAACAATGCCTGTAATGTGTTGTTTATTAAAATTCCCAAAATTTTTGGAAACAAAAAATAAATAACTGCTGAGTGGAATGAATATTAAGCGTATTCGAGACGTTAACAACGGGATCTGGGCACCACAGCCGACAGTCGAGCTAGCAACAATAGCGAATGCTAAGTGAGTTTGGCTTCAGTAATTTGTTATACTTCCGTCGACAAAATATTTGTAAGTAATTACTTCCGATACATCGGATGAATGACTGGAGAACACTCGAGTCAAAGACGAGTGGAGGGGGTTGTCAACAAGCAAACTTCCATTAAAGTCTGTAGCACGAAGGGAAGCACACTCGCACATACAGCAGATTCAAGTATGTGACACATTGCTGCCGGTGGTGGCCTCACGGACTATTCCAGCTTTCTTGCGTTGCCACGCATGCAGCCGCTACGCGCCTCTTGTTGGATACGGATTTGACCTTGTTAATGTTATTTTGCACATACCGTTGTTTGCTTCAGAAGTTGTAAACAAAGCAGCGCGTGACTTCCCCCCGGAGCAATTCAAGTGGCATACCCTCGTGAACTGTCAATCGCGGCTTGGTCTTTACGCCGCTTTATCGATGATATCTGAACAGCTTGGTGCAGATAGCTTTCGACAATTTTGTCGAGTCTCGGGGTGTTGTCGTTAAAGGGGCTCGAAGATGTTTCTACCAACGTAGAATTATATCGCCATGAATTGCCCAACCATCACCAAATTACCTGGCGGCTGGCTGGCTGGCT